CTGTTGGTGCTCTTGGTTTCATAAATGCTGGGTAATTCCAGCGATGCTTCATGAAGCTGTTGGTGCTCTAAGCTTCAGGAGGTTCTTGTGCTGCATCATTAAGCTGCTTCTGCATGCTGCTTCATGCTGTATCAAGCTGTTGGTGGTCTAAGGCTCATAAATGTTAGGTGATTCCTGCGTTGCTTCATGAAGCTGTAATTGTGTACACAGCTTCATAAATGTTGTTTAATTCATGCGCTGCTTCATGCATGATGCTTCTTGAAGCTGACTCGCAGGCTTCATATCATCAGATTTGTTCACGAAAAAATCGTTAAGGGTTTTTCAGGTTCAGTTATTCACTCCGACGACTTGAATTATTAGGAAATTCACAAATTATTATTATATCTTCAGCAGCAAACAATATTTAAATTATTCAGAAGATGAAATTTTAAAAGGTTTGCTCACGCCATTTTATTTCATCTTCTAACCTGTAAGAATCTAATAAATTCTCCTCTCGTTCTCTAACTAAGATAATGGAAATTCAAATTAGGGAATTGGGGATTCTTAAAGTACCCATTTTTAAAGTAAATAATTACTCAATAATATTTTCATGTGCAATTTGGTTAAAGCCAACAGTTGGGAATCCTTCCGAGTTAGACTTGCATGCGAGCAAAAATAATTCAAATGCTTAAAACAATACGAAAATAATAAATAAATATGATCTATTAAAGGTAATTAAGGAGCGTAGAAATATTGTACGGAGATGGTAAAATAAAAAATCTCCAGTAGTTGTGCTTAAATATTGAACTGATGTAAAAGTATGATGCATGGAACATGAGTCCTGAGAAGTAGCACTGTCAGGGCGGGAAGACAGCTTGTAAAATTAAGGAAGAATAAGAACGAATCGTTAAGGAGTGGAATCCTCTCAGTCTCAAAGGATGAAATCAGCAGCATGAATCTGTAAAAGGTCTCTGAAGGCATCCAATAAGTTTAAAGAATCTCGAAAGATGGAGGAATTCTGAAGGGAAGAACTGAGCCATAAAGTGCCGAAGCAAAGGCCCGGTCAATGTTTAGTAGAAGTGTGGTGCTGTGGAGCGGTAGGGAGCCAAGATGCTATTGTGTCGAGCCGTGTTGCCCGTCACTGAAGACTCGTCTTTTAGAGGGGATAATTAGTACCTTGAGAACAAGAGAAAAAAACGCAACATCTCGAGAACACGGCCGAAAAAAAATTCTTCGACCTCCCCATCGTAGAGTTGGCTTCTTGATCTCTTTGCCGCGTTGAAACACGAGGTCCTCAACACTGGGGGAATCAAGCATGTATATTCTGAGTCCAATTGTAGATCGTCTCTACTTTTATTATGAAAAATTTGCTTTGGAGCTTCAGGGGTATCATGAAATATTTTAAATTGATGCCGGTTTCTCATGCCCACTTCTCAAAAATGGGCATAAAAAACCGATGTAATGTAGTCCGACATTTCCTGTGTCCAAGACCTTCAACATATATCAAAATTAATTGGAAGTTTGGAGTCGAATTGATGAGGTATTTTCACTAAAAATTTAAGATTAGATTTAATTCCTTAGCTCAATCGCATCCGCTTACAATAATCTTTGCTTTGAATAACTTTTAATGCAAATATTAACTTAATAATTAAAAAAGTAATTAAATTAATTTTTTCTAATATTAAATACTTCAAATTAGTGTTAAATTGATATAATAATTAATGTTTTTCAATTAATATCGAATTACTTTTTATTATTATTACCTCAATTACTATTGAAGGTTACCGAGTAATATTTTTCCTGACATGTTCCCATGAATCTGAAAGACGCTTCAGGTATAAGCAATTGAAACAAAGTCCGTCTATATCTAGAAAGCTGAAGCATTAGCTAGATATTACTTACCTCTAAAATTATCAGAAACTAAAATTCGAGCCAGCCCGATCCTGATAATAATCCTGATTAGGCGAACGTAAAATTTATAATTTAGTTTATTTAGATTAGTAAAACTGATACAAATAAACATATACATAAAGACAATTAATTTAGAGTTTATATTCGCTCATTTTCTCGGCCAACCTTCGAGGCATTGTTATTTTTCATGAGTGCAAAAAATATCCTAACGTTGAGGTAGAAAATAATTTTTTTTGTAAATTGAATGATAAGTTGTTAAAGTCACTCATTTTCGCACGACTGAGGGTCTACAGACTGAAGGCAAAAATTCCTTGTTTTCGTTCAATTCGAGCGAGTTGGCAATTAATGTCAACATTAAAGTGAACAATATAGCTTTTGGAATTATATGATAATTATTTGTCTAATATGTACTAATTTGACGTGACTAAGAAAGAGTAACATTTAGATTCTTTCACTAAACTTGTAAATCATGACCTATGACCACAGTCACGATCTAAGCGAAAATTCAATTGACATCAGTAGAACTCTACCATTTATTTACACACATTTTTCAAGTTACTCTCTCAAACTCCACAAAATCTTGATATATTGTAGACCATTTTTCAAGGAATTGTAGAAACTAAAGAAGTTTGTCGGTGAGTCTGACGATGCTAGTTTGTAGCTCATCACGAGCATCGTCCCTAATTATCTCAGCAGGAACACCGGTCACCACACAGGTGTTTTGGCAATAAAAAACTCGCCGCTCACCGTGTCAAGTGACACCAAATCTCTGCTTAATGTCCGCCGCAGACACTCCGCAGACTCTCGAAGAATGTGTCGCCGCTGTCGGCGCTGCGGGGGTGCCACACAAAGGAAAATCCCGGTCCCATCATCGCCAAATGATCGTCGGCCAGATTAGACGTCCCAAACACATGCAAAATTTTCATCAGGGAGCAGGAGACACATGAGAGCGCCGATCGGAAGACTTGTGACAATCGTTTCTTGAGTCATCGTTATATATACAATCCGCCGAGGGTCGGCCGGGAGCCGGCCGTGAGTTGGCCGAGAGTCGGTTGAGAGTCGGCCAAAGTTTGGCTAACATTAGGTTACGATCGATCGATAACCGAGATTTTATGTAGAGCAGAGGAAGTTCAGATGAAATGTTATCGATGATATGCTTGCAAACTCAGCAATGTCATTCTTACTGTACAATGACTAATGACTATTCACAGCATTATATGTGCTGACTTAGTGGAAGTTTTGCGGTTTCATTAATCTTCTTAAACTCTGGTTAATTACCTTTTATTTTTAAATCAATAATACAAAATTGATCTCATTGTGTGTCAGTTGAAACTCACAGCATTTAATAGACAGCCCTGAAGCCTCCATTAGTCTAAAATTTATCACTCGATAACTCATTGGTCCGCCATCATCCGCAATTTATTTCAATCAAATAAACGCCAAGCCTCATGACGGATCAGCAGCCTTGCCACATGCGTCGCCCAGCGGCGCAATGACGCACAATTAGCCACCTCCTCCACAGTGGCGCTCGATCTACTACCGATTGATGGTACCCGGAATTGCGCCATCAGGAGGCCCAATGGCGCATAAAGCTTGACTTTCAATAGAACTGTAACATCTTTGTCGGTGTTGTCAAAACCCGGCAGCGGCGAGTCGTGCGAGCAATCACAGCGGGCATTCAGCGGCGGAACACTCGTAGAAATTGCGTAACGCATGACACAGTGAGAAGAAAGAAGCCCCCCACTAGGAGAACGCTCCCCGAGGGCATATGATTTCATGATGATTGTACAGTCCCACTGCGCTCTATACACCGCGCGCTGTAGGGAGCGAGGGAGTATTTGTGGCCGGCGTGGTGAAGATGATGATGCTGATGCTGCTGCTGGTGTTTGTGGGACTGGTGAGGGAGCTAATGCTGCTGCTGCTGCTGCTGTTGGTGGGACAGGTGAGGGAGATGATGATGCCGATGCTGTTGGTGGGACAGGTGAGGGAGATGATGATGCTGCTGCTGCTGTTGGTGTTGGTGGGACTGATGACGGAGATGATGCTGCTGCTGCAGGTGATGGTGTTGGTGGGACTTGTGAGGGAGCTGATGCTGCTGGTGTTAGTGAGACTGGTGAGGGAGTTGGTGTTGGTGTGACAGGTGAGGTAGTTGATGCTGCTGGTGTTATGGGCAAGGCATCTCATCACCTTATGACAGGTTTAGGACGTCGTCGTCATCGGTCACGCTGATGCGCCACCTTCGTTGTCCTCCATCTCCAAGCCGTCGATAGGCAGGTCACTCCGCCCTCGGGTCCCAGAGTTAACTTTAAACTTGTTCTGTTCATCTGCCCTCTTTTTAGCCAGCTGATGCAAGATGCTGTTACTTGTCACTTGCCGAGGGTAGTGGTCCATATCACGATAACTTGAAATCTCGCTCAAAAAGCATTCAGTCGTCTCCTGAATGTCGCAGGGATGAACTCCCCTCCTCTCAGCTCCTTCGGCAGGGCGTTGAACAACTCAAGGCACAACACAAGACGCACCGATGCGGGTGGCCTCATCGGACCTGCACGGTGCCTTGGCCGCAACAAAATTGGAATTCACCGCAACAGAAACTGCAGCGAAAAAAATAGAGCAGCGATCTTCTACCAGTGGCTGACTGAGTAACTTTCTGCGACTGACTGACTTTCAGCACCTAACTGAGTGTCAGACTCTGACTGACTGACATAAACCGGCCGACTGGCAGTGCCTGATGACTGTAGGCGTCTGACGGACAGATGGCGCCTGACTTTCAGCGCCAGGCCGACTGTTACCACCTGCCTGACTGCCAGCACATAATTTGTTGCAAGCACCGACTGCCCTTCAGCGAACATGATGATGAAAATCTGACATACTTGAGTGGCGGTACCCATGAACCCAGCGGCGTCAGCATGAACCCGTGAACCCAGCGGCGTCAGCATGAACCCGTGAACCCAGCGGCGCCAGCATGAACCCGTGAACCCAGCGGCGTCAGCATGAACCCGTGAACCCAGCGGCGTCAGCATGAACCCGTGAACCCAGCGGCGTCAGCATGAACCCGTTACAACCAGCGGCTTCAGCATGAACCCAGCGGCGTCAGCATGAAAGCAGCGCCGTCAGCATGAACCCAGCGCCGTCAGCATGAACCCAGCGCCGTCAGCATGAACCCATGAACCCATTCTTCGCCGGCGCTGTGATGGCGGCATCGAAACTGGACTGCATTCCGCAGGCTGTACCCCGGGCATGGCAGGCTGTACCCCGGGTATGGCAGGCTGTACCGCGGGCACGGCAGGCTGTACCCCGGGCACGGCAGGCTGTACCCCGGGCACGGCAGACTGTACCCCGGGCACGGCAGGCTGTACCCCGGGCATGGCAGGCTGTACCCCGGGTATGGCAGGCTGTACCCCGGGCATGGCAGGCTGTACCCCGGGTATGGCAGGCTGTACCCCGGGTATGGCAGGCTGTACCCCGGGTATGGCAGGCTGTACCCCGGGTATGGCAGGCTGTACCCCGGGTATGGCAGGCTGTACCCCGGGTATGGCAGGCTGTACCCCGGGTATGGCAGGCTGTACCCCGGGTATGGCAGGCTGTACCCCGGGCATGGCAGGCTGTACCTCGGGCACGGCAGGCTGTACCCCGGGCTCGGCAGGCTGTACCCCGGGTATGGCAGGCTGTACCCCGGGCATGGCTGCCGTGGTCAGCTCAGCGGGGCTTCGTCTCCCGCTGTGCGCCGCTCAAACCTGACTGACCAGACGGTCAGCACTACACAGCCAGCACCCTGTGTTGTTGTCAGCACTACACAGCCAGCACCCTGTGTTGTTGTCAGCACGTTGTGTTCTTAGGAAACTTAGGAAAATTTACGAAAACGATGCTAAAAACCAATTATTAAAAACATTTTTTTTTAAATAAGGGAGTGAAAATTTTTTTTACAGTGATAATGATTTTTACTTCGCCATGAAGATGTTTAGCTGCTATTGACGTAAATACTGAATTATAATTCTTTTCTAAGGAACTGGACAAAATTTCAGTCGTTTTGAAATCGGAAATTTACAGGCTTCATCTTTAACAGCAAACTCTTGCTATTCAAGAGGAGAATTTCAAATCGATTTTCATCGACATAAGACTCACTATTCGAGGAAAGAATATTAGGATTTAATTTTCCACGACGAATTCCCTGAGCGCAATTCAGTGGAGCGCAATTCAGTGGAGCGCAATTCAGTGGAGCGCAATTCAGTGCAGGATAATCGCGCTGCAGAGTCGCGGCGCATCTTTGCATACAAGCGTCGCGCCGGCAAGTCATTTCGCTGCTATTAAATCCCGACGCAATCTTCCCGCGCCTCCCGCGCGCCGAGCGTCGAGCGTCGAGCAGCATATGCGGCGCGGCGAGCAGCATGTACGGCGCGTCGAGCAGCTGTACGGCGCGTCGAGCAGCATGTACGGCGCGTCGAGCAGCATGTACGGCGCGTCGAGCAGCTGTAAGCATGTACTACGCGTCGAGCAGCATGTACTACGCGTCGAGCGGCATGTACTACGCGTCGAGCAGCCTGTGCGGAGCGTCGAGCAGCATGTACAGCGCGTCGAGCAGCCTGTGCGGAGCGTCGAGCAGCATGTGCATGGAAATAAGACGAATGGCATTACTCTGAATAGGATGATGTACAACGAACTGATTCATTAGTAAGTGAATAAAGTAATGTATGGGAAAATTAATAATGATACTAAATCAACGGATTGGAAGTAGGGTAAGGAAGTCGGATAATGTACTCTGCTATATATATATTTATATTATTAGTTTTCATTTATAACGTTAAAAATGAATGTTGATTTTAAAGTGAAATTTTTACTTTCAAATCTATTGCTTGATTAAGGGGAGCGTCTATCCCCAAAAATTATCTCGGCTATTTACAAACGGATCACTCTGAAACTTGGTACACATATGTAAAATGGAGAATAACTCGCATTTTGTTCATGTGAATTTTTCGAAAAGAATGAAAAAAACCCTGAAATTCTTAGAAAACGGTCAAAAAAGGGGGTACTTTTGAAATCCATCGCGAGATGGATTTCAAAGATGGATGGATCCATCGCGAGATGGATTTCAGCGAGACACATATCATTCGATGCGTAAAAACCATATCTATAAAACTGCGTTGGCATTTTTGAAATTTTCATTTTTGAGGGTGTGGGACCCTTTTTCGTAAATTTTTCGGAAATTTTTCGATTTTTTTCGATTTTTCCCCACTTTTTACTGAATAAAATCCAAACTATAAATAAATTAGAAAAACCCAAACGCAACTTTGTAGATCTTTTATTTGCAAATCGAATGATATATGTCTCAACGTTGTAGCTTCAAAACTTCAGGAGGAGATAGGTTTTCCGTGACAAAGTGTGAATGTTGAGGAGAGCGCGACAAAGTCCCGCACGCACCACAAAATGCGCTCAATGTAGCATAGATACCAAACTAAACGTTTCTGGAGCTTGATTCCACTCAAGGATGATGGGAGCAACTACATGCACATCTCTTTTTAAAAAGCCCGGAGGCACACTGAGTCAGACCTCACAAAAACACTATATTTGTAGTGGTGGACAGCGAATTATCTCATATCTAATTACTGAAAGAACTCCCCCCCGCCCCCCTTTCATGAAGTGTCGTGTACGTAAAAATCGACGTACAGAGATGGTAATGATACCATTGGATAGGCCAGAATGTCAGCTTTAAGATGAGACTAAACACGTAACTGCAGCACAACTCAAGTAGACACTATATTTAAAGAGCTCAGCAGCTAATTAGTTCCTATCTAATTACTTAAAGAACTCCCCCACCCGCCCCTCTTTCATGAAATGTCGTGAAATCATAAATCAACGTAGAGAGATGGCAGTGGTACCGTTGGATAGGGCAGAATGTCAGCTTTGAAATTAGTATAAAAACCGAAGAAGTAAAAATTTTCAATTTTAGGGTAGACGCTCCCCTTAAAAGCGATCTAAAAATAACTAAAATATCAAAGTCAAAAATATTCAACTTGTAGAGGATTTGCAATATTACTATTGATTAGCAACACTATTTTAATTTATCATCCATGAATTAAGGTGATCATATCCTAGATTGTTATATATATATATAGCCCTTAGATTAAACAAAATCAAACCACGGTGTTCAATCATGCCGCATATATGCCTTTCGGCGTCGTCTCCAATGACGCTTCTAAAATTTCCAACGTGAAGGTGCCACATAAAACTTTCCTTTCTCTAACAAACATCAATTAAAAGAATCCTTTATTGCGTTGCACGATTTACGGGAGTCAATTTCACGGCGAATAGGCGTTCTTGAAGCCAGCCTTCGATTCTCATGCGAGATTTTCCGCCTCACAAAGGGACACAAAATAGCTCAAAATCGAAGCTCGAGCTTTTGTTGCTCTTTTGTGGCGTGGCGAAGCTGGTGGCCGCTTCTCCTTTGGTGCTTCTCTTTTGGTGCTTCTCCTCTGGAGCTTCTACTTTGGTGCTTCTCCTTTGGTGCTTCTCCTTTGGTGCTTCTCTTCTGGTGCTTCTACTTTGGAGCTTCTACTTTGGTGCTTCTCATTTGGTGCTTCTCCTTTGGTGCTTCTACTTTGGTGCTTCTTCTTTGGTGCTTCTACTTTGGTGCTTCTCCTTTGGTGCTTCTCCTTTGGTGCTTCTCCTTTGGTTACTTTGGTGCTTCTCCTTTGGTGCTTCTCCTTTGGTTCCTTTGGTGCTTCTCCTTTGGTGCTTCTCTTTTGGTGCTTCTCCTTTGGTGCTTCTCCTTTGGTGCTTCTCCTTTGGTGCTTCTCCTTTGGTGTTTCTCCTTTGACGCTTCTACCCTGGTGCTTCTCGTTTGGGTCTTCTTCATTGCTACTTATTTGGCGCTTCTCCTTTGGTCTTTTCCTTTGGATATTTCTTCTTTAATGCTTCTCTTTCGGTGCTTCTCCTATAGCGCTTCTGACGCATTGCAAGAAAAGATACACATAATAGATTCCAAGCATCGATTTGGGGAAATCTCATAAAAACTACAATCGAAGAATCAATCTTTCATCGATCTTTTTAAAAATCAATCCTTGAAAAATTTCTGCAAACCAGATTTAAATGAACTGAACTTCTAATTAACTAATTTAATTATTTATCTACCGCTTCGGAAGATTGATCTCGATTAATTAAACACTGAAAGATCGAGACGAAGTGGTCAACAATTGATCGAAGATCGATGGAGTTCTTGGTCGGAGACTTGTCGAAGTTCTTGCCATTGTTGTTGTTGTTGCATCGTCATTGTGGTCAAAGGAAACCATTCAAATAAGAGCAGACTAAAAAATACAATAAATCGAGTGGCTTATAGCATCCTATATGTCACCACAATACCGCAGAAATTACATCACCGAAACAATACCTGAAGATAACGGCCGAACTACATCGTATATTGTTACACTCATGTCTTTAGCAATAATATTCTCAATGATATTCTCAATAATATTCTCAATAATGTTCTCAATGATATTCTCAATAATATTCTCAATAATATTCTCAATAATATTCTCAATAATATTTCCAATAATATTCTCAATAATATTTTCAATAATATTCTCAATAATATTCTCAATAATATTTTCAATAATATTCTCAATAATATTCTCAATAATATTCTCAATAATATTCTCAATAATATTCTCAATAATATTCTCAATAATGTTCTCAATAATATTCTCAATAATGTTCTCAATAATATTCTCAATAATGTTCTCAATAATATTCTCAGAAATTTATTGATTTATTGAGAGGAGAAGATATTGTAACCACTGTATATGCTTGCAACAATTATATTCCGCAACATTTAATAGGAGGATTTGTATGAAAGTATTATAAGAACCAACGATTGCGGAAACCAACTAACCAACGCCACCGGAGCGGAAAAAATACCAAATTTTTAGAAATTATTTAGAATTCAACCATTTCAAGGTTGAAAAGATTCTCTAGATAATTATAAAAACCGTCAATCGTGACGTAGAAAAAATTCGTAAACACATTACTTACATTTTTTGATCATAAATAAAACCAGCAACTAGCGGTTTCCGAACGATTTTATCGAGGAAACTTCAAAGATGATGACAACGAAACGCTTACGTTAAAAATGTAACGTTTTTATGTATAAATTGTATTTTGCATTAGATAATATAAGCAACATCATTGGGTGATGCTAAGCCCAGCATCAGCCAGCAGCGCCCAGCAGCGCCCAGCAGCGCCCAGCAGCGCCCAGCATCACCCAGCAGCGCCCAGCAGCGCCCAGCAGCGCCCAGCAGCGCCCAGCGGCGCCCAGCATGCAGCAGCGCCCAGCAGCGCCCAGCATCACCCAGCAGCGCCCAGCAGCGCCCAGCAGCGCCAGCATCACCCAGCAGCGCTCAGCAGCGCCCAGCAGCGCCCAGCAGCGCCCAGCGGCGCCCAGCATGCAGCAGCGCCCAGCACCCAGCAGCGCCCAGCAGCGCCCAGCAGCGCCCAGCAGCGCCCAGCAGCGCCCAGCATCACCCAGCAGCGCCCAGCAGCGCCCAGCAGCGCCCAGACATACCTCCATAAACGCGCTATCATGCCGCGTTAATTTATTTTGCGGGCGTCGGGAGCGCGACAAAGCGCAGGCGGCCGACTTCATTATTTGATAGATTGCCGGGCAGCAGATTGCCTTCATCGCCATGTTGCGCCTAAATGCTCCTTATGTTGCGCCTAAATGCTCCTCATGTTGCGCCTAAATGCTCCTCATGTTGCGCCTAAATGCTCCTCATGTTGCGTCTAAATGCTCCTCATGTTGCGTCTAAATGCTCCTCATGTTGCGCCTAAATGCTCCTCATGTGCATAGCACGCCCCCGTAGTGACAAGATTGCATCTATTGGTTCGCATTGCGTGTCACAGTGGAGTATTAACCTCGGGGTTTTACTCACAAGTGAAGTATTACCCTCACATTGGAGTATCGCCCTCACATTGGAGTATTACCCTCGTAGTACTAACCACACAGAAAAGTAATACCCCCCCCCCAGTATCACCCTCACAGTAAAGTATTACCTTCGTCTCCAAATTCACCTGGAAATTACTAACGCAGTCTAGAAGCTGCAGAGCGCCCATTCCCCCCTTCCCCTCTTTCCTTTCCTCGGATTCGAGGGCAGCGGTCCGGCTTCCCTCTTGATGAGACCGAGACCGGCACACCGTAATCTGTTTGCAGCGCGGCTCAGGTTCCACGTCCCGGTTGAACTTGACGGTGTTTGTAGCCGGTTACACGCGAAAGGGTTAAGGGTATTCCCTGCTGGTTGCGCGGGGGAAGGGTTGAGGGATTTCATACCGGGGATGCACGGTAGGCTTGAGGGTGTTTCTAGCCGGCTGAGCGCGGTAAAGTTGAGGGTATTTCTAGCCGGCTGAGTGCGGTAAAGTTGAGGGTATTTCTAGTCGGTTACGCACGGTTGTGTTATGGTACTCCATGACGGTTATCTGGAACGGGGTTGACGTTATTTCTTTCGTCGGATCTCAGACTAGACTTGGATTGAGGGGTTAGAAACGATGAATTCAAACCTGAAGATTGAATTAGATTGTTCAAACCTAAGTTTTTATATTCGTAGTTATTCATACCTGGCTGTTCGTACATCCGTAGTTTTTCGTACCAGCCCGTTCGTAAGGAGTTATACGTACCTGAGTTTTCGTGCCTGGGTGTTCCAGGTCCAGCATGTAATATATCTTTTTTAAGTGTACCAGAATCTGAAACTCTTTCATGAGTCTTGGGAGCTGCCGAAAGACTGAAGGATATGAAGGAATATCCGCGTTAAATGTAAAGGAAAGACCTACGATATTACACACGGTACATGCATAACACACAGTTGAATTATAAACATGAAAGTATACAACGGCAGAAATCATTAGCCGAGGAAATATGCTGTTTGTGCAACGACCGAGCCGATGCGTGTAGCTGGTGCACTAAGAATATGAATTTAGTAAGTGCAACTAAAATTACATGTTTTGCTATTTATCTAATAACTATTTCAGAATGAATTATAATTTTAAATATGAATGAAATTATACTCACAAATACCGCAGCAAAAAATTTAAATTCATGTGTATTTAGGTTGCCAACGAGCGGCTACGCCATGCAGGCAGAGCTGCGTTCACTTACTCAGATTTGTGTTAAATAAATCAACATACGCTAAGTTTATTGCTAGGGGCGGATCATCGTCGGCCAACGTTTGGCCGCCCATAATCCAGCCAAGACAACTCGTAAGAATATAACCTTTGCGGGGCAGCGATCAAGGATCGATCGAGAGGGTGAGAACGGCTAAAAGTCACGTTGTGGTTGCCGTAGAAATAGCATTAATAGTGTTGCTTGTCGTAGGAATATGATCAAAGTGGTATTTCCGTAGTAATAACATTGTTAGTCGCAGGTGCAAACATGATAACTGGAGGCCAGAAGGCAATTCATAAGCTCTATTATTCGCACATGACCGCGGCTTCGGCGTATGGAGAGAAAAGTGCGTGGTGCGTGAGAGGGACGTGCGTGGTGCGTGAGAGGGGTGTGCGTGGTGCGTGAGAGGGGTGTGCGTGGTGCGTGTGAGAGGTGTGCGTGGTGCGTGAGACGCATGCAGTGCTGGAAGGATGGCAGGACGACGCAGTGTTGGAAGGATGGCAGGACGACGCAGTGCTGGAAGGAAGGTAGGACGACGCAGTGCTGGAAGGAAGGTAGGACGACGCAGTGCAGGAAGGATGGCAGGACGACGCAGTGCTGGAAGGATGGCAGGACGACGCAGTGCTGGAAGGATGGCAGGATGACGCAGTGCTGGTGGATGGCTGTAATGACAGGAGCAGCCTGGGTGGTGCCAGGAGCAGTTCTGTCTGCAGCCTCCTGTCATTACCTGTAGAGTTCGTCCTTTAATTACCTGAACCCTTCCATCGCCTCCCACACCTTCACTAATGACGCCTTCCTTCGCCCTAATTCCCCCTTCCGTTAGACGCTGGAAAATACGTTTTTAAAGCATTTAAGCTAAATTTCGATTCAAAAATCACTCACCACAATCAACTAAAACTTTATATTTAGAATCATGGTCATTTACAACCGCTCTAAATCTCCACGAAAGTTCAGGAAAATTATAACATCACCACCCACACATAATCAATAACTCACAGGCATCATCACACCACGCTCCACATGCACCACTTACTGCAATTTACCACATTCACCACCCACCACCACTTGCAGGACCACCTCCAGCACTCGCACCCACAACACCGCACTGATCACCACTAGCATACACACAGAGGTGGGCAGTAGCGCGCTACATGTAGCGGCCGCTACTAGCGGCCGCTACATTTTAAGTAGCGGTTGCGGCGCTACATTTAAGTAATTGTAGCGGTAGCGGTAGCGCCCGTTACATTTACAGCATGTAGCGGTAGCGGCCGCTACATTTCAAAGTAGCGCTACCAAGCTCTGCATATTCAACACCATATGCACCACCATTATCACTTACATCGCCACATTCATCATCACTGACATCCATCCACAATGCCAAACTCACCACACTCACACTCACAGCACTCGTCATTAACTTACCGCCAACAGCATCGCAATAAAACTCTCCACACAAACGACTTTCATCACCCTCACCTTATACTCACCACCAAACATCTCCCAACTCTCACCACACCGTGCCGCCACTGGGATGGCCAGCATTGCTCCATACCATCATCACTTTCATATACCTTCCCGTGAGCAATTAGGCTTCCTTCCTTCCTCCTTCCTTCCTTGCTTGCTTCCTTCCTTGCTTCCTTCTAATCATCCATCCTTCCTTCCTCCTTTTATTCCTTCCTTTCTTTCTTCTTTCGTTCCTTCTTTCATTCCTTCCTTCCTTTCTTCTTTCAATCCTTCCTTCCTTCTTTCATTACTTCCTTCCCTCCTCCTTCCTTCCTTCACTCCTTCCTTCCTTCCTCTATAGGCTACTAGCCTATGCCTATGCTTACTAGCCTATGCCTATGCCTATGCTAAGTTAAATGCTTACACCCATAGCTCCATTAGGCCACGGCCATTGTTCAAGTTGCATATTCGTCCTGGATTCCCAACTCCAACAAGGCCTTACCTCCACGCTTACCCCGACTCGCCACCCAAACAAACCTAACCTAACTGCAGTAAGGTTGGGTGTTGGGGCAAGTGGGGAGGCTGGGGCTATTCACTGGCTGCCGTAAGGTGAAGAATATGGGTAACTGTAGAGGTAGGGCCATGTTGAGGTTCCAATTGAATTGAAATGGTCACTGGCT